CTTTTCTAATATAGTGAGATGACAGTTTCCCTAAAGTGCTGTTCACCTGATATGTGTCATTCTTATCTTTGGAGCTACTATTGGTGGGTTGGTTATTGCATTGCTTTCATGTCTTGCCAGCTCAGAAGCATGGGAGGATAGAGGAAGGAATGGGGAGTTCATCCTCCTTTGTTGGAGGACCTGGACTCTCTAGTCTTCTTCTTGTTACATTAAACTTCATTACACCTGGTTTCAAGTGTATTCTGTCCCTATGGGGACACTGGTAGGTTTGTAATTTGGTTGCCTCTGCCAGGATCTTACAGTGGGTACTTAGGGGCTTTAAAAATATTTCTTCTTCTTACTTCCCGTTCATCTACTTTTCTCCAAATTGGTATGGTATTGGTGAGACTTGTACTTTAGATGACTCTCCTTTTCCTGTTACTGGTTTGATGTGCTTATTGGCTGGGGAGGAAAATGGGTGGACAGTGGTAGCACCCAGTTGTACCTCAACAAATCTTCTGTTTTTCTTTGGTTGCCCCTTGTCCTAGTTTATTATGTGGACTTGTATCCCTTCCTTTTTTGACTCCTTTTGTGATTTGATTTGATTTTAATTTTTTTCTGCTTTTTCTATTCATTTCATTATGGGGTGGAGAATGAGAGTCTATGATCCATCTGTATATACTGTTCATTTGCCTTACTCTGAAATACTAAAAATCAAATGCAAATCTTCTTGGGAGGTTATTCTCACATTAAAGATCAAGTCTAAAATGAAGCCTGACAGATTTGAACTGGATCTAAAAAGGATAATCATACAATTTTTATTCAGAAAATGAAGGGTTTCTTATTTTGATAAATTGGTAAATTCTATTTACAAATAAAACAAAGCACTTAACAAGCAGTAGTCTCTTGTGGTTGTTTCTAACCACTTAGCTTTTCTTATTTCCTTTATCACTTTTGTTCTTACATATTTCACTTTTTCTCTGGGCCACTCCTTTTCTCATATGCCAACACCAGTATTTTCACTAGGATATATAACTTTTCATATACAAAAGCAAGCACACACTGTGTAGCCTGTGAACCACCAGGGCTTTTCTGATGTCCCAGGAGCAGAACAAAATCACTTACACACACTTGACCCACGAACAGCTCTCTTTCTATTTGGGAAGATTGGCTCTGGATGAGTGCACAGCTTTGGAGACATTCACCTGGAGCTGAGGAAGGAAGAGGGTGGCCCATCAGCTGAATCAACCCAACAGTCACTGAGGTGACAGATGCTGTGGTATAATAAGCTGCTCTTCCAGAAAAATCACTGTTTCTGTACGAGACTTTTGTATTCTGTTTAGCATCAATGGGTAGAAAAATTCCACCCACATTTCACTACTCATGGCGCAACCTGGAAAAACTCCGCATGAGGTTTGGTTCCACAGAAGCACAGCTACACAATTTGACTCTTATACAAATGTAAATCTGTTCATATCCCTGTGAAAGCCAAATTTTTGAGAGCAGCAAACCTGACTTGTTTTCTGTTAGCTCTAGGGTGCATCCACTTCCCTTCCTCTGAGTTCTGTGGAAAACACCTGTGTCAAGGAGGTAGGAGAAGAAAAGACAGAAAATAACTATATTAAGTGAAGTGTTTTCCCGTTTCATTCAGCTTGCTGTGGCTGATATTAGAGCCTTTTCAGAGGCAGGCAGGTGGGGCAGGTGGGCGGGGACAGGAGATGTGTGTGCAGGTTGCAGACACAACTTTCTGCTGAGGTGGAAGGTAGGGGGAAGCAAAACGTGGTAGTTGGGAGCCAGGCTCAGCGGCTAGGAGCCTGGTTTTGAAATTTGAAACCACTCCTTACTAGCTTCATGACTTTAGGCAAATTACTTTCTTAAACTGATTTTGCATCAGTTTCTGTGTATGAAACCTGGGTAGGAATAGGCCCTATCATAAAATTGTTCAATGACTGAATTAAATTATATATTAAATACTATATTTGTGAAGATTTCTTTCATGCTCTCTCTCTCTACACACATACACACTCTCTCTCAAGAGTTAATTGCCTAGCACATAGTAAGTCCTGAAAAAATCTGTTAAATTATGTAAGGAACCAGTGAGTGGTATTTTCCACATATAGTCAGGTAAGATTCTCTTGGTAAGTCTAATTTCTAGTCAAAAACATCTAAAAGCTGTTTTTTATTCTAAAACCATGTTTTCTTCGGGGCCACTTTGAGGATATAGTTAGCTATAATTCATGCCATATAATTATTTCCTCTATGAATATCTCTGTAAATGATGTTATAGTCACTTCCTTTAATGGGCTCAACATTACAGTATAACTTATTTACCAAGTCACTTTGTCGATTTTTGAATATTGTTATAGCCTGAAGAAATTTGGGAAATATCAGAAGATATGTATTATGAAAAAGTATCAATAATAATGCATGTTAAAGCATTCACATTTTTGTTAGTTATAAACGATTCAGTTGTTCAAATTCATTCTGACTTGTGGTTTAAGGCTTAAATTCCCATGGCAATCCTATGTTTTAAAAGTCCACAGGTAGTTAACTGAGCCAAGTAATTAAAGGATAAATTAGGGATAAATTAAAAGATTAAGGGATAGAAAAGGTTTAATTTCAATCCGTTCTTCAAAAGTCCATTTTCTTGACAGGTATAAAGTAAATTTATAACAGCTGAATTTCCAATATAAATGTCAATCCAGTCTTCCCTGGTCTTATATTAGAAAAAGGTTTATGTACAATTGATCTTTTAGATTTAACACTAACCCACAATAGGGTTTTTATAAGCAGTTTTATTTTCCACTGCTTTGAAAATCAAGTGATGTCATCTTTGCCCCTATTAACTTCAAAAGGTATTTTGAAATATAATTTTGAGAATGTACAATTATACAAAAATAGACACATTCTGTTTGCACCATCTGAATTAGCTCCGTGCTAATTAGGACTCAAATACCTAACAGCGGTTGAATACTTCTCCTTCTGGTGTTCTTTAGATCTAAGAGCCCCTATTAGGTTTCAGTACTATAGTGTTACCAATTCCAAATCCTGAATTGATTGCTTTCTCACCAGTAACACTCCCTATCATTGGGGCAAGTAAAGGTATCTTGCATACCGGTCTTATTCCTTGTGGAAAAAAAGGGGAGAAAATAAAAGCCTCAGCTAAAGAATTAGATTCTGGAACATAGTGATTGATGATATTGGTGAGCTAGAAGAGCTTAGAGCTAGTTCCAGTTCTTTTCCTCTGGTGTGAGACTTCTAAGTTACCAATGCCTTGGGGACCCACAATTTCTAATCTCCAACAGCTGGGGATGCGACAAAAATTCTAGCTGAGGATCTTTTGTTTTTCTCAAAATTAGTCTTATATACAGAACCCCAAATTTAAATGAGACCCAGTGAAAGCTGTCTTGATTGCTTTGGGGTGGTGGGAGCAAGAGCAATATCCTCAAGCCTTCTGAACTTCACCATGTATCATAATTTGAAAGTCACTGGCCTAAATAATTTTAAGGACACTGCCAGTTGTATATATATTGAGGTCTATCTTGCTGCAGGAATGATTTGAAGTTTCTTCCAGCAGGGGAATCTCTGCTTGCTCAAAAATTTCTGGTAAGTGCTATCCTCCGAGAAATAATAATAATACTAAAATAATTCTCTCTGTCAAATGCATAATACACGTAGTTTGGTGTGTGGTCCTTCAGATCAGGAGGATATTTGCTTGACACTTTCATAGGAGTTGGAAGTGTCCAACTCCCCGATCCAGTATTTTTAATAATTTTAAAATTCATCCTAGTATAACCTTAGGTACAAGTTAGATTGGCCCTTAAAACTTTATCAAAGATGAAAAGAAGGCTTTCTTTTATATATTTCTAATATATAAATATAATATGGTCTTTCTAATATAATAATCATATTTATTTCTATGCTTGACTTTTTGGTAGTTTATATAAAATGTTTGCTTGTCCATTGGCTTATTTAACTTGCACTATTTGTCCTTACCTGAGCTAAATCATAGGGCAACTTCATGTAAAAGGAGAAGATTTAAGGCTTCTCCCCTTTCACATACAAATGGTTATTTATCTACCCAAACAAAGCAAGGAAGCAGAAAAAGAAAGGGTAGCTTTGCTAAGACTAATCTTTGCCTCAGACTGTGTGGGGGTAAAACTTTTATTTCTTAGAAGACAAAAATAAACAATAAAGCAGTTAACATTCAGGCAAATTGAGGTGTCACCTAATATTCTAGTTTTAAAAAGGATCCCATGATACTCTTTGAGATATTATAAATTTTCAGGACAACTGACACTTTAAGTATAATATATATTTAAAAATCAATATGGTTAGGTGAAATTAGTCACAAAGACAAAGACAAGTACTATATAATATCACTTATGTATGGAATCTAAAAAAGCCAAACTCATAGAGACAGAGACTAGAATAGTGGTTACCATGGACTTAGGGGGTGGAGGAAATGGGGAAATATTGGCCAAAGAATATAAACTTCCCATTAGAAGATGAATAACTTCTGGGATGTAACGTACAGCATGGTGATTATAGTTAATAATATTATATACGTGAAGGTTAATAAGAAAGTAGATCTTAATTGTTCTCACCACAAACAAATAAAAAAAGAGGTAATTATATGACATGATGGATGTGTTAGCTAACACTATGGTATTAATCATTTTGCAATATATGTATTCCAATCAACATATTGTACACCTTAAACTCATACAATGTCACATGTCCATTATATTTCCATAGAGATGGAAAAAAATTGGGGAATTCGCTAAAAGCAAAGTCAATATGATTGAAGTGACTTGGTACCAATGCCCTAATTTTGAGGGTCAGATCGAACTTCATATTCTGCCCACCCCACAAATACTAGAAAATTGAGGTGATTAAAAATCTGTACTGACCTTCTTTGTACTGCCTATAGTTTACACTGGGTAAACTTTCAGTACCATATGCTGCGCGTTTATGTCTTGAATTTATGTGTTGACAGTGCATGAAATAAAATGTTTCAGATCCTTCAGAAAAGCTTTACAGCCTAACCTCAGAAGAGTTACCAGCCTTCAACAACCATTCGCTGAACATAAGTCAGACTACCCTAGATTTCTGTAAGATCTCAAGTGCAAGAGGCCTCCGTGCAGTTGAGGAATGGAGGTAGGTTAAGGCTGCAGCCCACATGTAAAGATAGTGCATAGTGAAATTTTTGATAAGCCCCGAATAGTTATCTTTACTATGTAAAGAGAGATTGTCCTCATGTGTATACTTTATATGGCCATTCTCTATAAAATGTTTGGGTCCTTAGTTGACCTATTATCAGGATTTCGTAGAAGTCTTATGAAGAAGTTACTTTAATGTGAAGAGATAATTCTCTGCTGCACAATGTGTGTCAGCAAAATGAAAATATATTTGGAATTTTATAATCCTTCAGCCTTTCTTCTTATGTTGAAAAACAGTTGCTTTACTTGGATTAATTAACTTAATAAATCTCACTAGTTTACAGTAATAGGATCTTACTTAATGTGAATAAGGTTTTTAGAGTATTAAGAAGATTCTTTCTTAAAATTAAGTCAAGGTTGTTAATGATAGCATATTTTAAATTGTATCACTTCATTCTTTCTGCACATGAAAAACATTTTTGGATGATCAGTCTGTAAAGAATATAGGTTATATTAATAAATGCTTCAAAAAGTAGTTTATCATGTTGGTCTATTATTGACATGCTGGAATTTCTTGAAAAGGAGGATGGATTTTTCTAGAAGGATTAAGATAAATGTAAAATAAAAGTCCCTTGAATTATAAATTCCTTTGTTTGGTTTGAAGTCTAATATTGCAGTGAAAAGGAATCAAGAGTCCATTACTCTGTCTTTATAAAGGAGAAAATCGTTTAGCTGTGGTCCTTGGATTTTTGCATTTCTAACACTTATGTTTTTAAAAAGAGGAATCAATATAAAGTTGCTATTTTTTTTCCTAAAAAGCTCTTTTAAAACAAAGTAACTAAACCATGTACTCTCGGTATCATTTCACGAAAGAAAGGACATTTCATACTAAAAATATAAGGGGAATAAACGGAATAAAGCAAAGTTCTTTTAAATTAAAAATGTCATGAAAAAGTCATTACCTTGTTGTTATTTTTTCTTCTTAGACCAGTGGAAATTTTTATCTCAGTCAGATCTGCCCTGGTCCATAGATCAGAGTTTAGGAACTGCTGATTTAGCCTCTGTTGGGCTTATAAAAAGGGATCTAAAAAATATCCATCACAGGATGAAATATTTATATTATTTAGTAGCATACACAGGCTGAAATTCTAGATAAGTTGGACAAGAAAAAAAAAATCTGAATTGTACAAATTCCTTTCTGTTCCCCCACACTACCTCCTTTCCTAAACCTGACACCTATATACTAGAGTTTCTACCAGTTCCTTTCCACAATAAAATGTAACAAAATAAAACAACTAAATAATTGCTGACATTAATTTTGATTTTGGCATATCTTGACTGGCTATCCACATAGTCCTAATTTACTGTACACAAAAGAGGTGATTTATCTGGCAGTCTATTCATTGGGATTCTATTAAACAGCCAATGTAATGATGAATGTTCTTAATGATGACCCTGAGGCTCTGCAAGTTTCTGAAGAGCCTTCTGAATCATCAATGAAAGACACAACCGGAGACCATACAATCTCCCCTTGGTTCCACTGTGCCTTTATTTCTTGGGAGAGGGAGAATGATGAGAATTTCTCATTAAAAGGAGGCTTCATATATTGGGCACATTGAAAATTATGGCCAGGGTCTGAGACAGCCTCCTCACATCTGCCTGCCTCCAATGACTTCAATTCATGTAGTATTGATCAGAAGATAAATGAAGAGTTGAAACCTGGTTCTGTATATTGTGTATTGATCTTTTAATGTATTTCCAGCTCTTCTGAAAGAGATACTGAAGTTCAGTCTTTGCTGACACTTTCTGAAAGCAGCACAGATGAGGAGGAAGAGGATTTTCTTGATAAGCAACATGTCATCATGCTACCGTGGTCATAGAGTGCCTCATGATAATGATCATTTGTTCATTACTTTTTTGATTTTGTACCCAAAGTAAAGCAAACAGCTGAAAAAAGTGACCAAGTGATTACCTGTCCAGGTGCTGGGGATTTTGATTATTAATGTTTCTGATATTTCAAGGTTTGTAAACTAATAAAAGTTAGTGAAGTTATAAGGGCTTTTTCTTCCAAATGATTTATTGTATGTCAAATGCTAATCTATATTGCAGATCATATTTGGAAAATTTGGTGAATTTGTAAAAATAACATTTATATTGTGTGTCTAGAAACTACTATAGGTTAGAACATGATTGTATTTAAAGTAATATTTAATTGCTGAATTATATTTGAATAATGATGTCATCATAAGAGTATATATTCAATGGCCAACTCATACTTGGCAGTAGCGTTAATTGAGCCTAGAATCCTTATTTTACTTTGGTAACTACTGTTTGGTTTTGATTTGATTCTGTTAGGGTTTTTGACATTTAGAAAAGTTCTGGTAACTTCAAACATTGCTGCAAGAAGAGAAAAAGAGGACCCAAAATAAAGCAGACATAATACTTGTCATTCTAATATGACACAAAGACATAAACTAGAAAACACAGAAACTCCCCCTCAAGCATCTTACTTTGGGAGGGTCATGTGATGGTTAATTTTATGTCAACTTGGCTAGGCTATGATACCCAGATATATGGTGAAACTGTATACTAGATGTTTCTATGAAGGTATTTTTTAGATGAGATTAACATTTAAATCAATAGACTTTGAGTAAAGCTGATCACCCTAAATGGTATGTGTGGGTCTCATCTAATCAGTTTGAAAGTCTTAAGAGAAAAAAGAACCGGGTCCTCCAAAGAGAGGGGACTGCTGCCTCCAGATCACCTTTGGCCTGAAACTGCAGCATCTACTCTTCCTTGCATCTCCAGCCTTCTGGCCTGCCTTATAGATTTTGGATTTGCTAGCTGTCACAATGGTTCTGTTTCCCTGGAGAACACTGACTAATAAAAATATAGTTTCTAGATTGTTGTGACAGTGAAAGAAATGAGCACACATAGAGGTATTCTGCTGGTTTCGAGTAGTAGGAGATTTGGGGTTCAATTCTTTACATGATCTTATAATTCAAGGGTTTAACAAAAGAACAGAAAAAGACATGCCCAAGGAAACTTTATGGTTGTCACTTGGTGACATTTTAGGACAGTTTCCTCTTAAGGAGTTTATTGACATCAGGAAAACATACCTGTAGGTTAGTTATGCCATCATCAGAGCACAGCCATAGCTAAAGGATCAAACTCTTTTTCTTCCCTCTGATTCTGGGTAATAACCCCTTGTATAAGCCTGATGATTATTTAGCGTAATTTATCTTTGATATATTTTCCATGGGATCAATACATCGTACTGGTATTCACACAGGTCACCTACTATCAGGATAAAAAAATGATGAAGACACCTATTTCTATGGTCTAAAAATAGTTAGGTCTATATGTCTAGAGATGCCCTTTAATTGTGCCTAAAAATGCCCTTCATTAAAAGTAACATAAATGAACAATTTTTAATAGGTCTAAAAATGTCCTTCATTAAAAGTGAGTAACATATGAACTATAAGCAATAAGGAAATCTAATTGTACTATCAAAATAGAATTTCTGAAAAGAAACAAATATCTTAAAGAGTGTAACTCCTCCGAAGTTTTCACTGTCCTCTTAGCACTTCCTCTGTCACCATGTCAGAAAGATAACAGTGAGTCACCCTCAAATCCTCATCATTTATGTCAAAGGCCCTTCTGGCATCTTGTCCTGAGGCTGATAGCTTTCTGAATTTTAGAATTTATAGTTAAAATGGAGATTGCCTTTTCATCAGTTAAAATAGAAAGAAAATACATTATTTTTGTTTTTAGCATGTCTTCTCAGATTTAAAGTTTTTTGACTCTCTCTACGCTCCTTTGCTGTAAGACAGTATCTTCCTTTTTCCTTCTGATGAAGAAGAAAATTGCTCCCTAGTGACAATTTATACAACTCCACTGTTTTTCTCCAAGTGGAAGGAGGTGTCCTATTCTCGTTAAGGAAGAAGGACCACTACTATTCCTTTTGTGTATCCAGGCATAGCTTGAGTCTTTTATGAACTAGCTCAGAAAGAGATTTTATAAGATGCTATTACCTTTTACAATAAAAGAATTTTAAAATAAAAATAAATCTGAGAATTAGTTGTCATTAGTGCATTTCTGGCCAGGACCTGAGATAAGGCATGTATCATTGACTTTGCCATTTGACTTCCAATATGACATTGAAATTAAATATGAGGGTCCTCTGTGGCAGAGCAGACCCCCTTCTGCCTTTATTTGCTTCCCATAACCACACATTTAGAAAAGTTCTTTCATTCCTTTTCCATTAGTCTAATGAGGAAATAAAAACTAAATAAGATTAGAGCCTTTGCCTGAAGCAGTTTCAGTGTGTTCTCTCATTTCGAAGCTCAAGTTTAAAATCACTGTTAAAGGCATGCACCTAATTCTGACTGTGGAATTGAGAGAGTTACAGACATTCCAGAAGAATCACAACCATGTTCCGAGTGCTGCAGTTACCACAGTGTGCCTCTAGCAACCACTGGACAAGTGATCCCATGGTTTTATATGCATGTTGGGATTTAGTAGTTTATACTCAGACTTGCTTAGTGGTGTAATAGTCATATGAAATTCTATAATTTTGCAGCTCTGGACATACACATAATGGAAATGAATTGACATTAAATTATATCTGATAACTTGAATATGTTGTTTGATATTTATTGAAGTCATTCACATCCAATGCACTCTGAGTGTGTCACACTGTGACACATATGTGCCATATATGTGAAGTGCACAGAAAACCTTTCTTGAACAAAAGAATGTTACAAAATGGCTCCATATCTGTAATAGGGCCTCAGATATTTTAGATAATGTCTTGATTCAGAATAAAACAGTTCTCTCTGTCCCTATGATTCAGTGGTTGGAAAGATCTTGAGCAATGTTTACCTCATTTTGGTTTTGGCTACATGATATTTCTCATCTCTAAAGTCTCAAAATGTACCTTCTGAATGAGACTTTCCATTTCTGTTGAAATTAATTCCCTATGTTCCTTTTTCTCTTCTTTCTCATGGCATCCTACTTTTCTCTCCTTTCTCTCTTATCTCATGGCCTATTAATTTATTGGTGTAATTTTTGAATGTATGTCAGACAATACGTTTCAACTGACTGGATTATGTCTACTTTGTTCACCACTGTACACTTAGCCCCTAGCATATGACTAGCTCACATTGCTGGTCATCAGTAATGAATGAATGAATGAATGAATGAATGAATGAATAAAGTGTACAGGATCCAATGATAAGTCATCTCCGTCCCTAATTTTTCCCAAGAGGAGACAGTAAGATATATAAAATGAGAAACACAGGATTTCAGGATACACTATTTACTAGGTGGCAAATAACTTATCTGAATGTGTTTCTTCATCATGAAATGGAAAAAAAAGTCACCAGCTTTTCTTAGAGGAATGTTGTGGGAATCCAAAGCAGTAGAGAATGTGGAAACACTTTGAGAATTGAAAAGCTCTCTTCCATGCTTATTATCATCACTTTTCAAGAGTTTATGCTACAGTCATTGAATATACAGACAAATTATGGATGGATCAATTAGTGAACTCAGGATTGAGTTAATAAATGATAAAAATCACTCAATATCTAGAGTGGAGAATGCTTCCAGTGAGTTGGACAGTTAGACTGAATGATGTATAAAGTTGTTTATGTTGAAAGCTAAATATCTAAATTTATTTTATTAAAATTATTTTTGAAACATTATTTCCTATGTTTAGCTTTCTTCTATCATGTATAAATTCAGAATTTTTAAATATCAAGATTGCACTGGTACTTTTATAAACACTTTGTGCGTCATACTTTCAGAGAGGAGAAATTTTAAAAACATACTACTTATATCTACCCAAATCTGTTTTTATGGGATATTTTGTTTCATCATAATTTTCATTGCTGGTTATTTATTACTAGCCACATTTTCATGAAAACAATCTTTATTTCCTCAGAGTTCATCTGTGCCTGTAGTTTATCCTCCACCTAAAGTCATAATTCTCTGTTAGTGATACCCTGATTTTTTGCTGGGTAAATGATTATGATGTTGCAAACAGGATTATGACTTTAGCTGGGGAATAACCAGCAGGCATAGATGAACTCTAAGGAAATAAAATCCTCCCTTTTTAATGCAAATATCTTCCATAGTTAAAGAAAAGGAGATGATATTTTTAATGTTTTCCATGAGGTGACAGTTATGTTTAAAATGAAAAGAGTTAATTGATTGATGGGGTTAGCTTGTGTTTCTTCTTTTCAACCACATGTAACATGCAATAACATTTATGGAAACAGTTCTAAGCATCTCTGTGCTCTTATTTCTGCCAGAAGGAAGCACTATGTGTATCGCCTTCTATCCAGAAGACAAATATACATTATTCTAGATACAAATGTTTAGGAAGACTTCCAAGAGGGGAAATGTACTTCATCCTATTTTACAATTAAACCTTATATATTCAGCATAAGTTAAATATGAAAGAAATGTTTTAGGGTAAATTTTGATATTTCACATTTTTTAGAATTGTCTTATTTTTATAGTATAACATTTTTTTGTTTATTCAAGCAATGGTAGAATTTGTAAACAGCTTCTGCACTTAAAAAAATGAAAGCTGAGGGACGCCTGGGTGGCTCAGTGGGTTAAGCCTCTGTCTTCTACTCAGGTCATGATCCCAGGGTCCTGGGATCCAGACCCACATTGGGCTCTCTGCTCTGCGGGGAGCCTGCTTCCTCCTCTCTCTCTGCCTGCCTCTCTGCCTGCTTGTGATCTCTCTGTCAAATAAATAAATAAAATCTTTAAAAAAATGAAAGCTGCAAGTGCAGACAGAAGATGAACAGATGCACATTTGATTTTTCAAAAGTAATCACCCTACATTTACTTTCTCCTCTGACCTATACCACACCACAGCCCTGGAAGAATACTGTGTAAGTTAGACCGTTGAACCAATAAGGTTTTGATTTAATTTTATATCACAGGAAATACCAAATAACAGCGGACTAACATTGAAGATTCTCTTGTAAGTTGAGTCCGGGAGTAGGCAG